ACCTTGGTAAAAGTTTCCTCATAACCTTGTGTATGAGAGATGTGGGAAAAGCTTAATTCACTTTAAGCTCACCTCCTACAGGAGTTCCCCTTTTACATAATTTCACAAAAATGAATACACATGCAACGCATGCAACTTATTCTGAAGGGTTTTGTAAATCCTGTGAAATTTGCAAATAAAACTTGATGGATGGATGGATGGATGGATGGATGGATGGATGGATGGATGGATGGATGGATGGATGGATTGATTGACTCTGAACAAAATTAAAACAAATAAAACAAATGCCCGAGGCTGAGTTTTTGCTGTGTCTCAGTTCACTCAGTCTGTCTTCCTGCTTCCTCTCATCCCACACAGACATGAGTTTTCAGAAATGAAGTGAGGATGTCTGAACCAAAAGAGATCACATTAAATGTGATAACTGTGTCCCTCTTCTTTTCAAAAACATGATGAATTATCTCAACTCTCTTTATGGTCAACTCCTCTGAAGTAAATATAAAGCTGCTGTGTTTCATCATGGTCACCAACATGTCATCAATCACACTGAGCAGTGCTGGCTTACAGTTTCACATGTCACCACTGTTACCACCTCACTATGCAGCACAAAGACGCGTCAGACTGAGGTGTTTAGTGACAGAAAGTGTCCACTAGATGGCAGCAAAGCAGCAACATGTGATGGTGTGTGAGTGAGGAGTACCTCTGTGCTGTCAGCTGATCTGTGACCTCTGCAGCCTCGCTCATGCTTCTGATCCAGTCCTCCTGGTCCTCATGGCTGTCTGCGCTGAAGTAGTACGTTCTGGTCCCAGTGTGCTTCGCCTGCATGCAAGACACAACAGGAGTCCTCAGGTCGCCTTCCTCACCCTCCTCTTCCTCCAACCACACCTGCAGACAGCAGACAGAGTAAAGGACAGTGTGAGGACAGGAGACGAGGAGCTGCAGCAGTTTATTAGCAGCTGTTCACATCTGTGCTGGCTTCACAAAATCAACAGCTGCAGTGTCCCGACCATCTAAAACATTTGTTAATGACCATCAGGTAGCAAAAATGCAAACGAGCACATCATTGGTTAAATAACAGAAAATAAATAAATCATTAAATCAGTAAATCAGTACATTTCCAACTATGAAAATGTGAAATCTCATAAATCTATATTTTATTCACAGTTACACAGTTATCATATGTTGAAACTTAGAAGTTATACCTTTTAAAAAATAAAATGAGGCAGTTTTGAGTTTGATGGCAGCAGCACATTTCAAACAAGATGCAACATATGCAGCATCCTGTCTTCTTTTAGAGGTCTATAAACATGTAGGAACCGAAGAGACAGCCCTGGAGGGTTTGTTCCTGTCTGATGGATTCTAGCTGTTTAACAGTTCTGGCTCTTATCTGCAGGTTTGTATATAAACCTATTGTATAAAGCCTATGTTTCCTTTTTCTCATTGATGAAACCTTGTGTAAACTGTCCATGCCAGAAGTAAGGCCCAGTCCCAATGCTCAWTGTGCACCCTACGCCCCTCTGTAAAGTGTGGAATCATTCGAAGTGCACATAAGTGTTCGAGTGTGCAGGTGCAAAACAGTTGAGAATTGGGACAGTACCAAGGAGGTTCTACAGAACTGGAGTGCGCAAAAACCACGTGACCGTGTGATCGGCTGGAGAAGCTAACAGCTAACGCTAAACGGTCAAGTCTGGATTTACCATTACTGTACATGTTGACACCAGAGCAGGAAAAAAAGGACTGACGATGTAGAAATCATTTAAACTATTAATAATAATATTAACACAATTATTATTAATATTTTACAGTTTATATTATCTATCTAATGCTTTAAATAATGTCAGAAAAGCTGTTTGTGTTATGGATTTATTAACAGAAGATAAACAGGAAAACGTCTCATTTTACAACA